TTTAGCTTGTTGGAATCGCCGCACCGAGGAGAATCGGAATCCAGTGTCAGTTTTGTGGTAGCTAGTATGCTTAAAAATTTTTTCTACACCCAAACTTTACTATGTAATAAATTTTGATGTAGATCGCTAAGTTCCACACAATTGGTATTATTAACTTGATACTAAATTTCGTCAGGATATTCTTCAAGATTTGGGCTTTAAAACAAATATAACATATGTTTTCTAGCATTTGTGGTTGATGAATTATAGCTGTTCAAAAGTAACTAATTACACTTGTATTTCTTTTGGTAGCCGCTGTATATCTTTAAATAGTTGTGAGCTTATATTTATAAAAAATTCATTCCTATATAATGATATATATAAAGAGATTTGGCAAGAATAAGGATCTTGGTAAAAAGCTGCAATTATGATAAATTGATTTAATTCTTTACATTATGTGTATAGCGTGACTTGATATAGATGACATTATTTTTTTATGTTTGGTCATACATGTAAAAATATTGAATTTTATATTTAATTGATCTTTTAAATAATTTAATTCCTTTAATTCTTGATGTTTATGCAGTGCACTATTGAGAAGGTAACTGGTCAGCTTATGAAAAAACTTGAATATGTTGCTAAAGTGACCTATTTTTTTGATTTGATTGAAGAAATTATAAATGTACTTTATTGATGTTCTTTTTCAATATCTTTTATTAGATAGAGACAAATCATCAAATGTTCAATATTTTTACTAATCACCTTGCTTTTTTAAGTAATTGTCCTATAGAAATTATTCACAGTATTATTTAACAGCGCATAACTAAGTTTTTTATTGTATAATTATAAAATGATGCTCATTTTATTTTTTAATATCAAGATGATGATACTTTTTGATAACATTTTATGAATTCTGTGAAATATTCATATATATCAAAGCAATTAAATACACTTTCTCAAAAGTATGCTATATTGCTTTTAGATATATTTACGAAGATATACTAAACAAAATAACAGTATCTTTTGATTGTTAAAATTTTATCTAATAGAATTAATTCATATAAGTTACCTTCTTTAGATTAGAGGTTAGAACTGGATTTATATTTTAATCTGGATTAAATATAATAAATCTGGATTCCTTCATTTCATCCAGATATAATAAATCTGATTCTTTCATTTCATTCAGATATAATAAATCCAGTTCCTTTGTTCATCCAGATATAATAAATCTGGTTCCTTTGATCAATCTGATTAATTTAAATAAATAATTTTAACTTAAATGCTATTCCAATTATAAAATTCCACGAAATTTGCATGTAAATCTTAACAAATTAATTTTTTTAAAAAAAACTATCACCTTTTTTATAATAAATTCAAATTCAAATAAAATAAGAAAAGTTTTCATGACTTTTTATTCCATATAAACCTTAAATTTAAATGTAAACTTTTGAAAAATGTTTGTTTTTTTGACTTCTTTCTCAAGTTAAAATGTCTGATACTGAATCTACACTTATATATTCATCCATAAGCATTATTAATAAACGTAAAAAATGTAAAAATAATTTGGATGTTATACCTTCAGATAATGATAGACCATTAGAAAGAAATAACCAAAGTCATACTTTCTATTTTTTTTCGCAAAGACTCAAATAATAATAATATAGCTTATTGTATAATTTGTGAACGTACTAGTAAAAAACCTTATTCTTATAGTCAAAAATGTAGATTAATTTCAAATCTATCCTGTCATTTATGAGATAAGCATCAAATAATGAAATTTAATTTTTTAGAATATTGCAAATGATAAGGTAAGATTCATATATACTGTATAATTATATTTATAAATATTCATAATCTAAAAGTATTTAAATTTTGTATTAGCCAAAATAAGATTAAAGGCAAATAATGAATTATTAATGTAATAAAGCTCAACAGCAAAAGCTTGCACATCTCTTAATAGTTTTTATCATTAAATTTGTATAACCTTTATATATTCTTAAAAATGATGCTTTTCATGAATTTATTCATGTTTGTGAACTTGAATTTGCAATTTCCTATAAAAAAACAGCAAAAAATTTAATTTATGAAGCATATTTAGAGCAAAGATCAGCTTATCAATTTGCTTAAAAATACAGCTACATTAATTCATTTTACTATAGATCTTTAGACAGCAAAGAGCAATCATAGATATATCAGAATAATAACAACTTGACTTACTTCTGATTTTAACTTTTATGAGGTCTTGCTTACTTGTAATTTTTAGAATATTCATATACTGAAGAGGTTATTTGTGATAAATTATATCAAATTATTAAACAATGGCATTTAACAAAAACAATTTTTATAATTATTACTGATAATGGACCAAATATGATTAAAGGTATATGACTTTTCAACCAAACTTTATCTTCTATAAAAAGACAATCTTGCGTCACACATACATTATAATTATCTGTAAAAGAAGGTTTAAAGCATTGTAAAATGTTTATCAGCAAATCAAAAATTTGCAAAATTTTTTTGATTACCAAAACAGGTACAAAGACTACGACATGTATAACTTGAAATTAATAAACTTGAAATACCTTTAATTAAAGATTCTGAAATACCAATAAGGCCTTTAAATGTTTTAACTGATACTAAAACACAATGGAATTCAACATTTATTGTATGAAAATAAATTTTTGAATTACATAATGCTATGCGTTATGTTTTAACTACATTATTATCAAAAAATGATCATATATTAAATAAAGGAGAAAATTAGAAAAATTATGTTTAATACATAAAAAAAAAATGTAAGTTATTAATAAAATTTTAAAAATAATTTTTATTATTTATTTTAAAAATAAAATATTTGTCATTTATAAATAGATTCATTTAAGAAATAGTGAAATTATTAGAACCATTTGAAACTATAACTTGTCAATATCAAGTGCTACATATCTGACACTTAATATGATATACCTATATATGTATATGCTTAAATAAATGTTTGCTTCAAGAAAATGAAACTTTAGAAAGTTATTTGTATCTTATTTATGGATCTTTTACATCTGAAAATACCAATGAAGAAGAATTAAATTTGAATGATGGATTTAGTTTTATTAGTGATGATGATGATAATATTCCAACTGCTAAAAATCGACAATATTGGCAATATACTTATCAACAATTTAAAGAACGTGTAAAAAATTGAGGACAAGGACGAAGATATAATCATAGTTTTTATTGTATATATGATCGCGTTTATGATTGTATTTATATTTTACAAAATTCATACAAAATAAACAATGAAATTGAAAATATATATCAAATTGAATATCTTTCTCCAGTAGATATTAGAGATCTTCTTAAAAAAGTTTGTGCTGCTATTTATCTTTCTTTAGATGATTTGTGAAATATACCAAATGAATTATCTTTAATTATAACAATATTAGATTCTAAAATAAAAAAATTTTCCATTTGCAGAAGATTCTGATCGTGAAGAACAAAAAAGTTAGCTGAAGATCTTTTAAAAGATTTATATATTGTAAATGGGTAAATGTAATATAGCTCATGTAGCGCAGAAGATCGACTAATTTGACATAAATGATAAATATGATATGTCAGACATGTGGCATAACTGACATATTAGACATAATTGACATATTAGATATAGTTGATATATTAGACATGTTAGATATATTTTTCTATGTAATTTATTTTATATAAATAGGTAGTTTTTTTTAGTTCATGTAAAAAAGGAGAGACATATAGGAACTCGACAAGTTAGTTTTAGTAGTTTTAGAGGCAACTGGCCTACTGCGTTACATTTTAGTTTCAGTAATTCATTTCTTTTATTTTCTTATTTTATTTTCTTATTTTCCTTTATCTCCTTTCTTTCATTTCTATTATCTTACTTGTGAATAAATACATTATTTTACAAATATAAATCATTGGCAATCTGTTGAATTATTGCATGATGAAATAGTATAAATACTTCGATAAACTGATTAGGTTAAAAGTTTATTAATTATTGAAAGATTACTGCTCAATTAAAAGAATAAACCGCTCGAACACCCCGTCTAACAGTTGTAGTTCACAAGAATTACACGTTAACAATATCTTAACTCGTGCTATTAATCATAAATATTATAAAATTGAAACTATAAATAAAATAAAAAATGAATATTCTTTAGATAACTGAATACAAATTCCAAGCATTATTATAAGTTGTTGAATAAAAATAGCTAAGGCTTGTAAAGCTGTATTCAAATTACCATATGTATATAATGATTATATTCGTTTGAGAAAGGTGCTTGAATAAGTTACAAAGACATTATTAAAGGTAAAAAATTCAACATTTAACATTAATTGAATTATAATTGATACTTTTATTATTTAGATAATTTAACATAAGATTGGCCATTACCTAATGGAAATAATTTTTTTATTTACAAATTGGATTATATTTATTTAATAGATTTTCTGAGAAACATTTTCAAGCTTACTAAACCTTTATGTCCTTTAACATTTATCTGAAATCATAACCAATTTCAGAACATTAGTTAATACTTCAGTTTTATTAAAAGAGACAATCTATAGATTATATAAAAAAGTCATCTTACATACAAATAAAAAAGATATTTTAATGGATCTTTCAAAACGTGATAATACTCTTCAAACTTTAAGATACTTATTGGATAGTAGATCTGATATAAGATATGATAAAGTCAATAATTTATTTACCAATATTGCATGTGATGTAAACTTGTATAAATTATTGGATGGTTGGTATATCAAAACTAATTTACTATTACAAATTAATATTGAAGAAGAAAGTGTCACTGAAAATAATTCCAGTATCTAATATTATGATTTAATTTTTTTTATTACATTGATTTTTAAAAATGAAATTATAAATTTTATTTTTTTTATTTAGACTTAAAAATTTCATCTATTCATCCTAACTTTCAAAATATTCGAGTATGTAGATTATGGAAATAACCTAAAGTTAGAAAACAAGGTTTATTAAATATTCTCTCTGCAGAAAATCTGTTAATTGATATTACAAAAATTTATCAAGATGTATACAAAAACTTTGGTGCTATTATCCAACGTCATGTTAACTATTATGATTCTATTCAATATACCATATGTTTAAAAGCTGATATTTATATTAATATTACATTATGAGTTGGTGAAGCAATTGATATAGAAGATATCGATAGCATTAATAAATGATTATATGCATTAATTAGAGCAATTATAATTCATCAAGATGACTTTGATAATAATAATCCTTTTTTATTGATTGATTAGTTTTACAAAAATAGAAATATCGATCTTGTAATAGGATTTTCAATTTATTGTCTTCAAAAAAGTGATAATCATTTATGATACCATTTACAACCTTTAACAATAATAAATCGACAACCAAAAGTACATTTTATATACAAATATACAAATCTTTGTTCAGAAAAATCTCACAATAAAAACAATGAAGAATATATTTTAAATGAATTTTATTATTTAATTATGTAATTATGTATTTGACATTAATGTTATAATAATATTAATATATATATTGTAATATATAATTAATATATATTATATTATATTAATATTATAATATATATTATATTAATGTTATAATTATATATGATATAGTATTTAAATATTTGTTAAATAATAATAACATGCATGTTGCTAATTAATATAAATTATGATTATAATATGATTATTATATGGTTATCGAAAAATCTATATTGATAGTAAAGTATCTATATTGCAGATTATTTAATGCTCATACTACTACAGAATTTAAACCAGAATAATTAGTTTTAACTATTTTATAGGTGTAAAGAGTTTATAATAATGTCACTGATTTTATAGATTTATAGCGTTTTTAGTAATTTATAGTAAGTATATTATAATATTCATTTTTATTTCTATAATTCAATATAACAGCTCTATGACGTATATACAGAAGGTCACCAAAAGTCTCCAAATACTTTTTAGGTTAACGTAAACTCAAAATTTAAAATTAAAATAAAGATCTAATCTACATTTTGTACTAAGTAACTAGTACTTAATCAGGTCTTCTTTTGCTTTAATCACTGTCTGAATTCACTGTAGCATATTATCAACTAAATTTTTGATAGTATGTATAGAAACATCTTGTTATGCTTTTTTAACGTATCATTCAAGTACAGCAAGATTAGAAAGCAGGATTTTTTTTCACAAATGCTTTTTTGATATCAGCTACAGGTTTTCAATTAGATTGAGATCTGGACTTTAAGCAGGCCAAAAAAGTATGCGCAAATCATTTTTCATGTGAAATTTCTTCACAATTTTTAATTTGTAAGAGCGAGCATTATTCTTTTGAAACAAGCCATTACTATTTGGAAATATACATCTCATAGTTAACATAACATGTTTGCGAAAAATGGTAACGTATATAATACCAGTTGCTGTTCTAGTTAATGGGATAATAGATCCTAAACCTTGTCTTGAAAAGCATCCTTCAAAACATTCGTTTAAGGTTATATTTCATAGCAATAGTAATACAAGAAAAGTTTCATTCATCTTATAACTCCCGTCACACTCTACTATACCTGCTTTATTAGAATTAGGAAAGGTTAATTTGTCACTTCATATGACTTTACCTAATCATGCTTTGTTTAACTTTGGTATTCTAAAGCCTATGCAAAACATGCTTCCATATTTACTGGTAAGATTAAAGGCTTACATCAAGCAAGATAATTTCTTAACCCAACTTTATAAAATGTTCAGACAATTGTGTTAGCTAAAACATCCTGAATTGTCTTCTTCTTCTAAAGTTGTTAAACTTCAGTAGTATATAAGTGATGATTCTTTCTTTTGCTATTGGTTACAAGTCACTTAAACTAATTTCGTTGTAAAGGTTCAATAAGGGTGGATAACTAGAATGGGATCTTTAATTAGCAGTTCTGGTTTTATTCATTCTTTTTAAAGTGTCAAACACTGTTAACGCTTCATACCTAATAGTCATGATAATAGTTTTATAATTGTCACCACATTGATGACAATAAAATATAGCGCTATGTTATTCTTTTGTTAATTCTTTACTCATTTTATTGATTTCAGAGAATGAAATTTATTTTAAAATAAATAAACAAAATATGCATTTATTAAGTTTGATTTATATAAATAAACTTCAAAATGTTATATGACCATAATATTATTAAGTTATATATTGTTACTAATATAGAATCAAACTTAAAAAGTGGTATTCAAAGACTTTTGGTGACCCTCTATATTATAAAATTTGTATTATAAATATTACTTTCCTGTAACTCAAATCACGAGATGATCAATGAATAACCTATCAAAAAAATTATCAGATCAAGAGAAAGGTATACTATTAAGTTAAGTCATCTCCCACAATATCAAAGCTACAAGGAAGGTGTTTATAAGAAAATTTTGAACATGCATTTTTACTAATTTTGCGGTATCAGTATTAATCAAAAAATTTATAATACATGGATGGCTGAACTGGCTAATATGTATATCCTGATGCAGTAATCTATAACGTAGTACACTAAACTATTCCTGAAGTATTTTATCATAATGTCATCCTTAGACAAAGTAAGCTGTCTTGCCTTTTCATACATAAAATATGAAGCATCACATTATTGTAATTTCAAACATTTTTATATAATAGCCCTGACTGGAAAAATAAATAGATGTATAATGTGCATATTATTGTGAAAAAATATTTATTACATCATGATTCACAAAAAGTAAATTAAGTTATTATTTTTCAAGCGAATTAACAATTACAGCTGTTTTCATATTACAAACTTGCAAAATACTTGATAAATTTTATTATTGAAAATTGTCAGTTGTTAAGCAAATTTAAAAAACAGCAATATACACATAATAGGCAATCATTAAAATTTATAAGTATTAAAAGTTATATATACTCTATATTAAAAAACCTTTTACTTCTATCTTTTATTATAATCAAATCAGAAAGCAGAAATATTAGGTAAATGACCTCTATGAACAAAATTCGTCATATTCATGTACGTTATATTTTGAATTGAAATTATAATGCTTCTAATATAAGGAATCCTACCCAGAAAAGTATCACTCGCCTATAGCAAATTTCTGATTGATCGCACAGTATTTATTGTATGCTGAAGAAGATAATCATTCTAATAGCAGAATACACTATACTGGATATGAACAAATTCTGCATTCTGAAGTATACCTACGACCTGTCTATATTTGCTAGAACTTGAACCAAATGAGATAGTTAATGCTGATGTGCTTAAGTCATATTATATGATCTAATTTTCACAACGCAAACAGGCTTCGCGTATAGTAACCATGCTAAGAAAATGAGAGAAAAATGTATGATTTTCAGAGGCAACGATCTGATGAAAGTAATTAATGAAATCACGTGGCTGAAAAATTATTGGCAAACAAAGATCATAGAATCACAATTTTTTATAACATTTTTCAAGCAGATAACAGTATAACGTAAGTAGATAACAGACTTATAAGACTGATATCTACTTCCTTTGCAAACAAGTTGTTGATGTCTTAGATTATTTTAGGGGTTGGGATATCTTTAGCTGATTTACCAATTGTTATCACACAGGCATAAGGGTGGGATAAGGGATAATGATGAAATCCAAGTGATCAGTTTCTATAGTAGTATCATTCTTAATAGGGACGTATTCTTCAGTATCAAGAACATTAAAAGGAGAAGTGTTCTTGACGAAGGTGTCATCAATGATATTCTTGTCGGTGAAGTATGACAAAGAGGAAAATGATTCATACTCTCCTGATTATGAGCAAAATGTCATATTTGGATATCTTAATGATGATGATGAAACACTACAAGAGACGTCTTTCTTCGATAATGCAAATGAACTAGAAAGAGAAACCCCAAGCAAAATACCCCAAAGAGTTACATTTTATACAGATAATAATAGGAGATCTCCATTCCCAAGAAGGGTTTGGGTTTTTCAATAGCAGAGGTGAAAGAACCACTTGCTTCAGTTTGTTTAGCTTTCAACAAGTCATAGTGACTACAGTTGGGTCTTTTGGTGGATGAGGAGTTTTGTAATTTTCTGCCCATTTTTGTAAAAATAAAAGTAATAAAAGAACTCTTTCAGTATTAAATTGTTTGTAAAAGTATGTAAGCTAAAAACTAACTAACAGAGTTTATAAATTTTCTCAAAAATTTCTGAAATTCGGGGTGAAAGGAGAAAGAGTTTTTTTTATAAAATTAAACGACAAAATTATATATACGGCACATCCTGTGTTACGCTCCGGACTAATAAGTTTGTAAAGTCGGACATCGCCACGTGATCTATGTAATCCCCTTTGCGTAGATTATAGTCCTTCCGGAGCTGACTCGTATTTTTATATATCTTTTATTTATTTAAGAAATGCAATATACCGATTGATCCAAGCTTAAATTTCCGGCATATTATGCTACGAAAATCAACTTTTAATATAAGTAAGTTTAAATTAGATTATTAGGCATAACGTGTCTCAATTTCAAAAATTGCTTTGATGTTTTTAACGTGAGATCCAATTTAAAAAATTTCAATTTGAAAATCAATAATATAATTGACCATCAAAGTAACTGTTTAATAAAATTTTAAAAAGATTAAATTTCAGGAGATTATCACAAATATTGTTTTTGGGGGATATAATTAGAATGATTCAAGATTTGTTTCGATATTCATTAAATTATCTCTAATATAACGCGATAATATTATTGATTAAATAAATATTCAGAAAAATTAATTTTCTTTTAAATTATTAATACACTTAAGAATTTCCAATTTGGCTCACAATCCAATCAAGTCCTTCAAATAAGCTTTAAAATTAAAAAAATTAACTTAATAATTCTTATATAAAAAAAAAAAGTTTTCAAATATCAAAGATATTATTTACCCTTCTCCGGTTAACGCACAACACGCCTTAAAAAAGTTACAAATATGATTTAGAAATTTTGAAGATTAAACTAAAGATCGTAATCGAATTTAAATTTACCTGTATATGCCATTGACGATCTCTTAAGCTTGTTAAATTTAAAGCTTCAGATATCTGTGCAGCAGTTAATGCACCTTTCATATCTTGCTTATTTGCAAAAACTAATAACACGGCACTTTTGAGGTTCTATTATACAATAAAGATTTAATTAATATTAATAAACAATTCTAAAGGATATTCTTATGTAATTACCTCATCCTCCATCATCGTATGCAATTCAGTCCTTGATAAATGTAACCGATCTTTATCGGTACTATCAATGACCATAATTACAGCTTTTGTTTTTATATAATATGTTTTCCATGTTGCACGTAAAGAATCTTGTCCACCGAGATCCTATATTAATAAATTTTTACAAGAAAACTTGAGGAATGTAAAATAAAACTGATATATAAGAGCATAAGCGAGAGGAACTCACCCACATTAAAAAATGAATATTCTTATAAATGATTTCCTAAATAAAAATTAGCAAATTAATAAAATGTTCGATTTCTTTAGTTCATTTAAAGAATCGGGCAACGTATAAATCATCATAATTACCTCGACATTACTACCTATCGTTGGTGTTGTAACAACTACTTCATTTAATAATCTATTCGGAAAAAAATAAAAGTTTCAACCCCTTATTTTTGGTAAAGTATCGTTTCAATTTACTATGAACTAATTAAAAAAAAAAACTCCCTCCATAACAAAAGCAAAGGTTTAACATAAAATATTTACAATTTATACAAAACTGTTGTTTTCCCCGCGTTATTTAACCCGACAAGCACGATTTTCACCTCCTCTTTACTGGTAAGTTTACGCCATAGTTTAGAAAGAAGGATTCCCATGTTTTAAACCTGGCTGGAATAGGCTATTATTAAGCTAATCCACTGTTTTTAAGTGAAAGCCAAATAAAATTTCAAAAGCCGTGGCAAAATATTTAATAAAATTTAAATTTGATATTTCTTTCGTATCGAAGGTCGAAAATCGAGAGAAATTACTGGTTGCATCACATCAAAATTGATTGGTTGATTTTTTGAATCAGATATAAAAAAAATTTTTTTTTATCAAATATTTTTCTTTAACTCGCTAATACTATATTTGCGGTAGGTAAAAAAAAAAAATAAATAAAATTTGATAGAAAATTTTCGAATTTATTAATTCATCCATGGAAATCGTAATTATGACCATGTTATAATTAAAGAGATTATTTGATATAATTGAAAGAATATTTCAAATGAATAGAATGGATGATTCGTAGCCCGTGTAAATTTACTCGAAGAAATGTTCTACGTTTGAATAATAGATTAACGACTCTTTGTATTTCATCAGAACGATCTTTAAGCTTCCTGATAGGATCCCCTTGAACACGTAAACTTTTTTATTGGAAAAATTTGTATGATGTCAAAGGGAGACGTTCGCACAAAAAAATCGGAATATTTTGTCAAACTTAAGGCTTTATTGGAAGAATACCCTTCCATATTCATTGTGAATGTTGATAATGTTGGGTCCAACCAAATGCATCAAATTCGTCACATCCTTCGTGGGAAAGCTGTTGTATTGATGGGAAAGAATACAATGGTTAGAAGAGCTCTTAAGGGTCTTATACCTGATAATCCTCAATACGAAAGACTTTTACCACATGTAAAAGGAAATATTGGGTTCGTCTTCACCAATGGAGATTTAAAAGAAACCCGTGATGTGATCTTATCTAACAGAGTAAGTTGTAACTTAAGATCTTGTAATTTTATCAGAAAACAATTATTTAAATCTATTAAACTCGCTATTAGGTTAAAGCTCCTGCTAAGGCTGGTGCTATTGCCCCTATTGATGTATTTGTGCCGGCGGGTAATACTGGTATGGAACCGGGAAAGACCTCTTTCTTCCAGGCTCTTGGTGTTCCAACCAAAATTGCTCGTGGTACAATTGAAATCATTAATAATGTACATTTGGTTAAAGTTGGAACAAAAGTTGGGGCTTCCGAAGCTACGTTGCTTAACATGTTAAACATCTCCCCGTTTACTTATGGGATGACTGTTACTCAAATTTATGATAATGGCAACACCTTTTCTCCTGGTGTCCTTGATATTGAAGAATCAACTTTACTTGGTCATTTAATGGAAGGAATTAGAAGGATTGCCGCTCTTTCTTTGCAAATTAATTATCCCACTTTGGCTTCGGTTCCTCATTCTCTTATCAATGGATTCAAGAACCTTTTAGCCATTTCTGTTAGTACTGATTATACTTTCCCCGCTTCTGAAAAGGTAATGTATTTTATTCTTATGAATTGAACCATATGATGATTCTTTTTTGAAGGATTTACAATGACTGCACAAAATTATATATACACTCTAATTTTTTACTGATGGTTTTTCGAGTATATCGAATTCTCGAATTCGAGAATATGCCTTATGGAGTATATTATCTAACTAATTTATGTTTATTGTAACAGATTAAAGCGTATCTTGAAGATCCAAGTGCTTTTGCAGTTGCTGCACCAGTTGCCGCTGTCGCTGAAACTAGTCAAGCCGCACCGGCTAAAGAAGAAGAACCTGAAGAGGAATCTGACGATGATATGGGATTGGATCTTTTCGGTTAAGGATGAAAATAAAAGATTACTTTACAATATGAAAAATTTTATTCTTATATAATTTGACCAATAATAAAATATTTTTATTTTTATTTTTTAAAAATTTTTTTAAAAATTGTTTTTTTATTTCATTGTTCAGTTTCTTGACCTCCTAAATTATGTTCCTTCAACAAAGCATCAATTTCACTAGGTTTATAAAGATGATATGTAGTTTTGTTTTCATCATTACGACTAACGGTTGCGAATTCCACTAATAAATTCATTAATGTATATTAATATTTTTTTTTTTTTTTTTCGAAAATAATTTAAAAGAAAAAAAAAAGTTGAAGACCTACATTTTTCACTACTTAAAGTAGTAGAATCCATTGTTTTACTTAAAACTTTAACAGCCAATTCTTTGGCATCTTTAAGAGTAATATCATCTTTATAATCTTGTTTTAATAAAGATTGTGCAGATGCGTTATTAGCTCCAATGCATGTTGCTTTCCATCCACCGTAATTACCAGATGGATCAGAACGATAAAGTTGAAAACCATGATGACTATCATAACCAGCATAAATAAATGATACACCAAAAGGACGCAATCCTAATAAATAATATTTCTATTTTTTAATGATAAAGTTTTTTTTTTTTTTTTTTAAAAAAAAAAAAATTAAAAAAAAAAACTTAAAATAAATACCTCCGTATTGAGTATATCCCTGTTTTAAATCACATAACTTTTGTACTAATTGTTCAACAGGAATATCTTCATCATAAGTATAAAGATATTGTTGAGCAACTTGACGAGCATAATATATTAAAATATTAGCATCAGCGGTTATCCCTGCTACACCTCCAATGACATTACTTTTTTGTGTCAAGTAAATATTATTAAGTTCATTAAATGAATAAAATACATAAATTCAGTTCGAATAAAGTAAAGAAGGAAAGAATTAATCATAAAATGTTAATTACTCGTTCAAAAGGTAAATTTTCTCGCTTGTTGTCGTTTGTTCCAACAATTTTGATGTTACTTTTTTTTCAGCAGCGATAACGATACCATCAGACGCGAGAATCCCTAAAGCCGTACCGGCATGAGATATAGCTTCCATAGCATATTCAACCTGGTAAAGTCTACCTAATGCATTTTCCACAAATACAGTAATATGCATTAATAAAAATATCAATTTTTCATTGTATATTGATGAATTTATTTACCTTCTGGGGAGAAAATGGTAGTTCTAGCATCATATCTACGAGCCATAATAATAATAAATGAAGTTTGTCTTTTTTCGTCAAAGGAGAAGAAAATATGCCTAAAAGTAACAATTTTAACTTTTTGAAATCTTGAATATGATTTGTAAAGGGAATTCTTCAGATCAATCGCAGTTTCTAATCACGTGCCATGGATTCGGTTTATTAAACTTCGTTACGCATGCAGCTGCCGCAGAAATACGCGTAATCCAAATAAAACGCGTAAACAAATTTAAATTATAAAATAAAAAGTGAAAATCTTTTTCACAAAATAACTCTTTCTCTTTCTTATCTGTTCACCGCTTTCAAGAATTACTGTATCACACTAACAACATACTCTCATGGAGACCCCAAACAACCAAACTACAAACCTTTTTATACAAACGCCTTCACCACTTTTACGACAAAATTACTTTAATGGATGTAACGAATTTAGTAATCACACTCCTTCATCATTGAATTTGGCATATACTGAATTGCCAATCTCACCAGATATATTACAACAGGAAGAGAAGAAAGTGGCGATAAAGCGAAAGTTTAACCCCTTCGTTTTTGCAGAGGCACTACGTGAACTAAAAGAGGAGGAAAATTTAGAGTCATCAAAGAAATATCGCACTGATTTTCCGTTTTTGGAAAAAACTTTATCTAAAAGACTTCTATATGATGATGAATCTTTAATGGATTCATCGGGATGTAAGAAACGGCGGTCAAAGGATTTGGAAGGTGTCAGAAAAGTCAGCAAAGATATGATTGATGAATTCTTTATGTCATCATCATTCGTAACGGATGAAATTGATGAATTTTTCACGTCGTCATCAATTCCTAAACCGGTTAAAGATAAGACTACCGATCTTAGAAATCAGTTCACCACATCATTTGCTCATATATTAAGCAAAGAGTATTTCGATAGGACAACATTTGAGAATAGATGTAAATATCATGATCCGTTTATTCGATTAAATTTAATATATTCTAAGATTGTTTATATCTATTTTTGCTTTTAGATATCTTTACCCAAAAAAAATTATCCAATGAGATATATTTCGATAGTGAATTTGTAAATAAAGAAAAGATCGGAGAAGGAGAATTCTCCGAGGCTTTTAAGTGCGCTGTTGAAAAAACGAGAAATCTATGCATAGTGAAGAAGTCAAAGTTACCATTCAAAGGCCCTTTAGATAGACAGGACCGGCTTGAGGAGGTTAACATTCATTACAAAGCTGGTAGTCACAAAAATATAGTTGAACTCACGAGTGCCTGGGAACAAAGGGGATACCTTTACTTGCAAATTGAATTATGCGAAACAGGCAGGCAAGTATTCATCATCTTTAATTTGTTAATTTGATACTGGTAAATTAACAATTTATAATAATATAGTCTTGCCGATTTGATAAAAGAACGGAAAAAAAATGAGGAAACTTTTTCAGAAGAGGAGATTTGGCAAGTAATTAGTGATATTAAATCGGTAAGTTTTAAATATGTATATGTATATGTATTTTAAATAATAATTTTAAAATACTAATTTTAATTAGGCTTTCATTTATATGCATGGGAAATCAATCGTGCATCTGGATGTAAAGCCAGAGAATATTCTCATAAAGAAAACGAATGCTCAAAATATATACAAGCTTGCCGATTTTGGCTGTGCCACGTTACTTCCACCAGTTAGTATCATTAATACGTGATTGCTAGGACAATCAGGTTCCGGGAATTTTTAACATAATTTAGTTTTTGATGTTATTAGATTAAATGAATTAAGCACTTAATTTTACTCAAAAATTTCTCGGAACCTGATTTTCCTAGAAATCCTACCATGTCGCGAAAAAAAAAAAAAAAATTTTTTTAAATATAATTTATTATTTTATTTATAAATTTAGAGAAAATGGTTTGACAAGGACGGCGATCGACGTTATATATCTAATGACGCACTAAATGGAACATATTCACCAGGTGCCGATTGGTTTAGGTATGAATAATTATTTTATCTTTATTCTAAATGATATAGTAATTAAATTTATTATGTTGTTTCTAATAATAATGGTTTGCGATATAGCCTTGGGATCACCGTTATCGAATTAGCTACACTCAGACAAATGGAGGGAAATGGTGATATTTATCAACGGCTTCGTAGGGGCGATTTCTCTGATTACAAAGATCAACTTTTAACATATAGTGAAAAATTGAAGAAAGCTATTAAAGTGATGCTTTCACCCAACCATAAGGGACGCTACGTTGATTCGTCTTTTGGGATTTAAATTGAGGCTTTTTAGAAAAGAAAACCTTTAAAACCTGCATACGGAGGTGCAAACTTCCTGTATGGGTATCTGAGCGAAGCTGACACCTCATTGCGGTGCTCAGGTGGCGAGCTCTTTCTGGCTACTTATATTTTTGTATGAATACAAATTATTTCAATTAATTTCGTTTTATTATTATAATAATTATTATTGTTACTTATGGAGTTCGTCTCATTCGGATGTAAACTACTTATTAAAAATTTATTTTTATTAAAATAGGCATATATATTTGAGTTTTTTGCCGATCAGATATTTTCAACCTTACACAAAATTCTTAGAAAGAAAATATACAGTACATATTTTTTTTTTTTTTTTTGCCCATAAAGTTTCGAATTGCAGAATAATAAAATAAATCGTGCCCTATATATATATATATATTTATTTATTTATTTATTTTTTTTTTGTTCAATAGATTTTTAGGCCTAATTATGCAAAATATGGTAGCCAATACTTGGATTATTATAAATATACAACGGTATAGTATCTAAATGTATATGTTTTGATAATTAATAATGTTGTTAATCTTTAATTATTATTTGTAGAATTAATACTGAAGTTTATGTATAAATTCTTACCTTTCGATATTTTATCTGATATCATATATGTTGAGTCTAATTATAAAACTCTTTCCGATTTTTTCTAACTATATTAAATCTTGAATAGGCGATTTTTTTCTTTTCTTTTTTTTTAAAAAAAATTTTTGTTTTTATTTATGAAATATTAATCCATTTAGATAATAACTATTATTAATGTAAATTAAAGTTTGTATATGATACATTAATAAATGTAACATATTTCAATTATCAATATCATTGATTATGTAGTTTCAAATAACTGAATTAAGGAATTTTTTTCTCTTTATTATTTTAATAAGTTACTCTTTAGTTGATAAATTATAACCTGAAATTACAATTATTTCAACTAGCATAAATAGTATGATTTTTTAATTTTTTTCATATCATATTATTAAAAAATGGGATAAATTTTTATTATTGAATTGAAAACTACTTAGTTTAATACAAGCATATAAGTTAGAAAATTTTACATTTTTTTATTATTATATATAATATATATAAGTTTTAAAAAATCTTATACTTAAATAAAAGCTTAATAAAAAATAATTTTATATTAATAATAAATTTAATAATTCAAAATAAGTGATTTTAAATATAATTTATTAGGTTTTTTTACTATATTTTTTATTATTTTATATAATATTTTTTTAATAAGGTTGTATAATACTATTATTTTCAACTCTATTTTTTAAAGTATATTGCAAGCAAATTTGCCTAAAATTTTATTTAATAATTAAAATTATTTGTAATAATTTTAAATATTTTTAAAATAATTTATTCAAAATTAATATTTTTATAATAAATTTTATGATATTTTTATTACTAAGCAAAACTGAAATATTTAGTCATTTGATAAAACTAAAATTATTTAATCTTTAATAATTAAAAAATTAAAATGATAAAACTTAATTTTCATAAATTTTCTATAGATTTTTTTAATATTTTATTTTACTATAAATTTTAGAATTTTAGAATTTTTGTAAATAAATACTATTTATTACTTTGTTTACTATATTATATATAATATTAATTAGTAATAATTTTTGATTATATATTTAATTAATAATAAATAATAAAAGATTTAAGTTAAAATTAATAAATATTAAATAATAATATATTCTTTAATAAAGATAAATTAATAAAAATTTATAATTTATATATTATAAAAAGCAGTTAAATTTTATTCTTTATTGAAAGTTTAGTTAAAGGTTTAGACTTTAATTAAAGGTTTAAATTTGTTCTAATTTTAAATTAGAATAATAATCAATTTAAAGTATCATATTTTTAATTTTCAATTTGCTTCAATTTTAAATTAAGGTAATAACTAATTTAAAGCATTACATTCTTAATTTTAATTTGTCTTAATTCTAAATTAAGGTAATAATCAACTTAGATATCTCATATCTTAATCTTCAATTTATTTTAATTGTATATTAAAGTAATTATCAACTTAAGTATTACATATTTTAGTTTTTAAATTATTTCAATTTTAAATTAAGGTAATAGTTAACTTAAGGTATCACATATCTCAATTTTTAATTTATCTTAATTTTAAATTAAGGTAGCAAAATCTTTCAAGTTAAATTATTTGAATTCAAAATTTGTATTTAAAGTAGATTATTAACTTGAAATATAATACATATATTAGATCCTAATATAACTTAAATTTTTTAAATTTTATTCTATAACTAATCCTTTATTTTAACAGATATTCTAAGTTATCATAATATGTTTAAAATAAAAAAAATATTATCCTTATCTATTTTATATTATCAAATAGTTTCTAATAAGTTTTCTTTAAAATTTAATGATATAAATTCTATTTATATATTTATAAATTTAATATATATTACTAATCTTATCAGATATAAAATATCTTTATATTATAATATTATTTAATTTAAATTTAACTGTAGATTTGACATAATTATCTCTTAATGATTCTTCAGATTTTTTCAACATTATCTCTACTATCTGATTCTTAAATCATAAATTTTGACTTATTTTACCAAACTATCTTATTCTAATCTTTAATTATTTAAAATTTATATTTTTTACAAATTTCATTTTTGTGATTCTATGTGTTTATCAAAGATATGATTTTTTTGTATTTAACTATTACACTTATTCTATTTCTATATAAGGATCTTTTTATTATATATTCATTAACTTTAATTTGTTTTGTTATTTTTACTTTTTTTTAAATTATACTAGGGAAATGGCAACGGCCGTTGTTAAGTCCGGAGTTCAGACATACGCATTCACA